TAGAATTTATCCAGTTGGGGGGACGTCCAATGCATCGGGGGTGAAAAGGCACGGAGGGAAATGTCCTAGATTCCATCAAACTACAGTAAAATAGAGGGGTTCTCATTTGAAAAACAAATGTTTGTATCACCACAGGACACTTCTTAAGTAGTACCAAAAAAAATTCAAGTACTTGAATATATGGTCTTTGAGTATATTTAAAAATTTCGAAAATCAGAATTTGAATAAATTCATTAATAAAAGAAAAAGGATATGAGCAATGAGCATGCTTGGTGGATCACTCTGTATAAGTTAGACTAGGCTACTATTGCTCACAAAAATATTTGTTTGTGTAAAAAACAGAAACACACACGTACATTATTATTATTCATTAATGGCGTTTAAAAAAAATAAATACAAAATTTAAATATAAATGTTAATAGCTTCTTTAATTATTGACTCATAATTATAAATGATTTAAATGCAACAAAATGCATTAAAAAATAAACCCTGTATGAATCTACTTCTAAAATGTATTAATTTGAATTTTAAGTTACCCCTAAATCTCCCCTTTTTAATTTATAAAAAATAATTAGTATCAAATTTATTTATATTATATGATTCAAAGAGGTTTTCACATAGGTCATATTTTTCTATTTTAAGTGTATCATGCTGAAATCTGCAGTCACATGAAATTTGAAGCACTCTGTATATCCCTTTAAATTTCCATCAGACGTTGGAAATATAACATACAACATACAAATAAAAAGGTACAGGATACCGCCGCCAAGGAGTCGCCTGCCATGAAGATTGAAGACGCTTGCGCGTTCTACTGAAACACGAAATTTCAGAGAACGATGTATTATACCGATTGTTTGCAAGTCAAGGATAAAGGAAGGCAAATCGAATGAAACGACAAGAATTTCGAACATTCCTGCAGTGCACGACGTCCGTTGCCAACTACATTGAAGGTCTCCATCAAGGGTGCCAAATGTCGGCTGTCCTAAAATATAATACCTATTGTGCTGTCAGATGAAATAATATTACGGTGAGCCTTAGTATGAATAGGTTCCAATACCATTTCAAGACGTTTCTACCTGTACAAAATACGAGCGGATCACTGCTTAAAATAAGCATCGTGTAGTGATGCCCACTGTAAATAATAAATATTAGAGTTCGAATTATAAAGATACAAATATAAAACTGTGAATATAAGAATTTCAAAGTTGTTAAAATGAAGCAAAAAAGAACCTAAGTAAATTTTAATAAACCCACAAAAATTATATTATATATGAGACGCTTATTAATTATTTTTTTATTATTATTTAATATGCGAGTATAATTTAACTATACCTATAACCTATCGAAATCGATTAGAAATTTAAAATCGATATTTTGGTGTGTGCGACTTCTCGATCACACTGTATAATATTATATTTTTTGTGTCTGTAAGATATTTTGTACTTTCTTTCTTCAAACATTATAGTTTAACACAGGTCGTTTTTTTCCCAGAATCTTAGTACTAAGCAGTTAAATAAAGAGCCACCCCCTGTCGAGCGCATGGGAACATTTGCCCGGTCCGGGTATTCACTGTCAAGTCTTGGGTATTTTTCATTTTTAAAAATGTAATAAATTACCCACACGATTTTAAGTACATGGGTAAACAAAGCACTTTGCGATAGGCATGGGACCTGTCTAGACACACATATTTCATGGACGTGGGTATAATAAAAACACCCACGAAGCTAGGGGACAAAAACGTCGAAACCCCAGACGTTTTGTACGAGTATAATAATAGCGACCACGTATCGGTTCGAGTGATCTAATCCGGCCGAGTATTTACGATGCACGTGTAGTGACCGCATAGTTATATTATGGTTCCTCGATAAGTCGAGAAACACGGGATTACATTAATATTGTCTGATCCCGACGCCAGCGATTCCGACAAAAAAAAAAATGAGCAGCAGTACACGATAGACTAAATCGTTTTGTCGGAATGTCGAAATGAAATGAAAAAAAAACCTTAATAAATACTAATGACGTTACCAGCAAAGCCAGATGTTTTCGATGTTTTCGGATAATTTTTTTGTAGTATAGTATTCCACATCGTAATGCGTGTGTAATATTTTATGAATCTAGGAAAAAAATCCCCGGAATAAAAACCCCCGGAAAAAAAATCCCCAAAGATATAACCTAACTGTTCTAAAATAATAATTAATAATAATATTAAATAATTTTTAAAAAATATAAAATTTGAATGATAACTATTATAATATTATCTTGATCACACTGCTAGATGGAAAATTTTTCTATTTTTTAGATATTTTATTGTTTTATCTTGTAAATAATAAAACAGTATTAATACCCGTATAATTTATAATTTTTAAATTTGTAAAAATTTGGCTTATTAAAAATAGTTCAGGTGCTTTTTTGCATGATTTGCTTTTGCAACGATTTTGAAATGCTTTTATTCGTAGTTTTAAAGGCATTTATAATCCAAACTGTAATATTTATTATCAACGGTTGGCTTTACTACATGTCACGTGTTTTGTATGGGTAGAAACGTGTTTAAATGGTATAGGAACCTGCGTATTCATACGAAAACCCACTATACTAAAAAATAATTTTGAAAAAATCCTATAGCACAGTTGGTATTATATTCAGGACAGGAGACATCTGGCACCCTTGTTAGAGACCTGCAGTGTAGTTGACAATGGACGCTGTGCACTGCAGGAATGTTCGAAATTCTTGTCGTTTCATTCAAATTGTTTTCCTTTCTTCTTGCCTTGCAAAAGATTAGAGAAATATATCGTTTTCAGAAATTTCGTATGTTTCTATTATTATTCAAGGTATAAAATAGTATATTATATTTAGGAGAAATACATATTATAGTTAACAATAATTATATCAATTTTTTTTATAGTTGAATGGGCATTTATTGATAATGATAGACTATTATTGAAGGACAATGGTCCAGAGGCGTCTGAAAGAATAGTTATGTTTGCAATAGATGATCATTTAAGACTACTTACAGCATCAAACACCTGGTATTTGGACGGAAATTTCGGATTGTCTCCAAAATTTTTCTTATAATTATACGTAGTACGGATAAAAAAAATAATGTATTTTTAATTTCAATTTATTGTATTTTACAAAGAAAAACTAAACAAACATATGTGGAAATGTTCCAAATTATGATGGAAGAATGTGCTAAACGAAATTTATATCCCGACCCAAATACTTACATCTTGACTTTGAAAGTGCAGTTATTGAAGCAGCAAAAGAAGTAATTGGTGTTCATATAAATGTATAATAAGAGGCTGCTTCTATCATTTGTGTCAATCAAGTTGAATCAACCTTCCGGAAAGTACAAGAACTGGGACTCGCCACAATGTACAAAAGGGATGAAGAATTTCGGAAACATTGTGGAATGGTTGACGCACTTGCATTCCTTCCTTTGCACCTCGTAGAAGAAGGTCTGACGTATTTAAAAAACAATTTACCCGAAAATCTCACGGAACTATTAGATTATTTTGATGCATACTACGTTAGTGGAAAATATCGAAGAATTGGAAATGAAGAAAATAATATTAGGTTTCGAAAACTACCACCAATGTACGCACCAGCTGTATGGAATGTAATTATGTAAATGAATCTACCCTCAATGACTGTAACAGAACAAACAACATTGTTGAAGGATGGAACAATAGGTTCTCAAAACTAGTTGGTCAAAAACATCCCACAATATGGAAACTAATAAGAAAAATTAAAAACGAAATCGACGCCGATAGAGCGAAGTTAGCAATAGATGCTTTAGGTGAACCCGAAGGAAGCAGAACAAAAAGAGGATACAATAAAACTGTAAACATCCGTCTAAAAGAATTAGTCAAAAGACAAAATGAAGAAAATATAACTATTGGGGAATTGTTGACAGCTGTGAGTAATAACATACGCAAGAGAACTGATTACCTTTTTATTATATAGGTAAATAGATATTATTTTTATTTTAAACGCAATGTGATTTGTTCATTATTATCATAATTATTTTTAATTTTTGCGTAATCTAGCTGTGTGATCAAGATAATATTATAATAGTTATCATTCAAATTTTATATTTTTTTAAAATTATTTAATATTATTATTAATTATTATTTTAGAACAGTTAGAAATATCTTTGGGGATTTTTTTTTCCGGGGATTTTTTTTCCTAGTCAAATAAAATGATTCATGTAAACAGTTGTTTTTTTTTCAAACAACGGGTTTAAAAATAATAAGATACTGTACATATAGGTGATACAATTTATGAATGAATGAATTAAATTAATTTTTTTCAAGGTGGATACTTATATCTATATTGATTTTCCTTTGAATTATTTTTAGTTGTTGCTTGTAGTCGGTAAGGAGCATACGAGAGCCTAATTCCCAACGGTTCATCTATTTCTTTGTCAGTGTGTGTTTTTGTATTTCATGTGTAGTCGTAAATCGTAATGCATCTGAAACAAACAATTTACTTACAATAATTAAAGACCTGTATGGCTGTATATGTAATGAAAACGATATTGATGAACAGTGTAAATGTTGATAGTGAATAAGTAGGTACGTAATTAAGTTTTTTCTATTTCCTAAACATATTGTAATCATCTAAGATTTCCCTGTTTCGCGAAAAATTAAATTATAGGTGATATATTATACTAAAAATACCTATGACATATTTTTAAAAAAGACTGTTGAGTAATTGGTATACGACAAACATTTTAATTGAAAATTATGGTTGCAATGACTAATTATCAAGAGTGGTATATTTTCAATATAAATTATAAATAATTAATTTATGCAATTATGCTTACATATAAAATCAAACTGTAGCAAGCCAAATTTGAAAATTATTCAGCCATGGTTTTGAACATGTGATATACAATAATCCACTTTTAAAATTTGGCAACACTGGTCTAATACACGTCTTCCTCATAATATTATCACGACCACTGGGCATTTTGTTTGTCGATTGGCGAGTGCACACTGCACGACGGCGCACGTCTCAGTTACGGGTTACGGACTTACGGTATGTCGGTTGTCGGTATAGTCAGTTGACACTGAGCACCTGTGCTCAGCAGTTGTTTCAGTGTACGTTGTAATGACTATATTTTCTAAATTTTTGTGAATAGGTCAATGTTTATTTTTGTTGAGCAATTAGGCATGATTTGTACTGTCGTGAATAATTTTGTATGTTGTGATTGTGAAATAGTACTGTAATTCATACCACGTAATATTATCATTGATTATAAATACTATTTTATTATCAATAAGTCTTGTAAGTAATTACTTGTTGCTTGTTCATTCTTTAACATTTAAGTTGATACCCTTTTGCTTAGTTAATTGTTCTTTTATTATTTACCCTTAAGATATTGTTAATATTTGTAAAGTAAATGTAGTTACCAATTTCCTACATTATACCATTGTCTACCACGCAGTACTGTTACAGACAATATGAAAATATTATCATATTAATAAAAGGGCAATATACCTAATTGCATATTGTAAATTGTAATCATTTTATTTGTCATTAAAGATCACAAACCCGACAAACAAGACGGACTCCAGGAAAATGGAATATGTTCGGTAAGTACTGATTACAAATATAAAAAAAACACATAATGATCAAGATTCACATTTTTAAAGTGAGACTGAATTTATCAAAATAGTATGTAAATTGTAATAGCATATAGTATTTCTGTGATTTTTTTTTAACCACTTATTACTTGATACTATAATGATGGTAGTATGCAATTCTTTCTTTTCTTTACTGCATCCAATTTAGGAAACAATTCATTGGGTTTTCAAATTACATAGCTCTGTCACTAGCTATTTAAATACCATTTATTTTTGTATACTGTCAGTGAAGTCTAAGTAATTTTTAACATTCATACATTTTTTTATACTTTAATCGCTCTATTTTTGTTACAACTGGTTTATAAGCTAAGTTGTGTTCAACTCAAACTAGTCAAAACGTTTATAAGATTGTATGTTGTATAGAAAATGCCAATATAAAATTTGGTAAAAATTTCATGTTTCTAATCAAAGTTTATTTTTTCCAAAACCGTTTTTATCAAAATTTTAGTTTTTCTATAATTGTTTGTTTTTCCTGACACTTTTGAAAGCTAATGGCAATTTTTGCTTTTGCCCCCCTCTCTAAAGTAACAACTTGGTTAAATTTCCTTCCAGAAAAAATGCTGAAGTAGAAAATTGAAGAATTTATATTTTATACTGGCCCAAAAGGTTGATAAAAAAAATGAAAATAACATAATATCTTTATAAAATTAATACATACATTTTCAGAAAATCTTAAGTATGTAATTTGTTTGCTTAGTTGTATAAACATACCACATACAAAATTTTTGTTAATTTTTGATTAATTTAAAAGTAAATTGACAAAAAGGTTAGAACATAATTTGTATTTGTATGTTGATTTTGTACAATATTTTAATTATTAAATTAGATATGGATGTAAGTTCAATAACATAAAAAATGCGTAATAAACAGATAATGTCCTTAACTTATATTGTATGATAAAAGTTGATAATATCTCTCATATTAAAACTAACAACACAAAATTAGTTCTGCTGAACATCAATTTAGTATGTTGTACGATGTTGGATGGAGACAACAGAATATGATGAAATCCTATTAAGTATATTTTTTAAAATGAAAGTAGGTTAGTAAGTAGTAGTAGTAGTTACCTACCTATAATATTAATTAAATTATTTAAATTCTTAATTGCATTATATTTTATTATAGCGATTTGGGCATGAAGGCAGGCTCTAATGTGGTACACTGTCCCTTTAACAATGCTCACACGATGCCTCAAAAAACATTGATACTACATTTGACAAAATGCCCAGACAAAACCCCAAACCTAAGGATATGTCCCTTCAATTGCCTTCATGTGGTAGAGAAGTCCAAGTTGAATGTTAGTTAACTATAAAAAGAATCTAACTAATATTTATAAACTTATAATATTATCTTAATGCCAATTAATTCTTAGGCTCATGAAAATCAGTGTCCCGATCGTTTAGATTTTGATCAAATGGTCTACGAAACAAATACTAACAGAATTGAGGTAACTCTTAGAGGGCCCGTGATGAATGATCTTGATGAAACTTGGGACGTTGTAAGTACCTACCTTATTAGTAAATGTTTAAGTATACATTTTTATATCTTTTATGGCAGAAAACTTCATAAACATTCCGTGAAAAAAGTCTGTAAAAATTCTAATCGGTTTATATCTATCAAATGTGAATATTTATGATAAGATTCAATTTATTATGCTTTAATAATATGTATATTTGTATTTATACCTTATACCCTCAGTATATTTTGTACTTTTGACTTTTTTCATAAAAACCTATTAAACCAGTTAAATCTAACCACATGATATTATTTATTTACTATTGTGATGATACCTAAAAAAGTTAATAAATTAATAAGTTAATAAATGTGTAATAGATGATTGAAAACTTAGTAATTAATCATATGTTAATTTATTAATTTCTAGCCAGATTCGAACGAAACCGGTCCTGTTGAAAGTGTGGTGAAAAGCATTAATAAGAACCCATGTTTTATGAAACCCCCTGCCGGGTACACAAAATCAGAGCGAAAAAAATATCGTTCTGAAGCACAAAAAGCGTATTCGAATGTTGATTTGTCATATAATCCTAATTTAAGTATGAATGATGTAAGTACATTTCGATGCTCTTTCAGGACTTAATCTCAGTGAGTCTCTATGGGTGCACATTGGTATTCTTTGAAGTTATAGAGAGTGCTAACATTATATGTATTTATTTTAACTGAGAAATCAAATTAAAATAAAATAAAATTTTTCTATTAAAATAATCAGTCATCTAAAAGTATTTCAGAATCATGATAATCATAATTACTATTTGAAAACTGGGGATGCTAAGCACCTATCCACCTCTTAATACTAAATTCTAATACCATTTTATATAATGAAATGATAAAAAACAAAAACGATAATAATATGTTTTAGCTAAAACTAAAACCAAAAATGTTTAATTTACTTATACTAAATATTTCAGTTTCGGTTAGTTGTTATACCATATAATTTTTTTGTCTATTAAATTATCAAAGTTTTGTAATCAAAATGATTTTGAAACTTATAAACTGCTCTGTTATTACAACTACATACATTTTACTATCAAACATAATTTTGATTATGTAGTCATGTGTTTAGTCTATAGTACCGCACAAATGTGTTATGGTATATTTGCAATTAGGGAGGTTGTAATGGGGTGGGGATGGGTCGACAAAAAACCTACCATTTCCGGAAATATTCTAAAATTTACAAATAAATACTAAAATACACTAGTGTATACACACTATACACTAAACATAATTACCATATTTTTACAACATATATTGATAATAAAGTTGAACAAGATGTTTTATTGGGTACAACCAGTAGATACAAGGTTAATAAAGTTCTATTTTCTACTTTAGGGGGACTGCAAAAACATAACTTACAAGAAAAACTCACGCCTTTAAAGTGATCTGATTTTGATAATTTTTTTTTCAATTAGGTTTTTAAAATTCTTTTACCAATAAAACTTTTTGTTTCAAGCAATGGAACTAAAAATTGAAATGATTATCATTTTTAGCAGGCGGTGCTGTTGACATGACGTGTGAGCGTGCGTAGATAGCCTACAATTACACTCACATTAATAATCATTATTGACGACTAACACAAATGCCAAGGGTGGTACTATCGAAATTGCATATTGCTCTTTAACGGCCAATAGTTTCATTTTGGAATTTGTGATTAGTGTATGTTTTTATGTGGAAAACAATGGTACAATTAGAACTCAACATTTTTTCTTTGTTATGATGCTATTTCATGTCAATCTGTACTTTCTATGTCATATTATAGCTTAGATTATTTCTAAAATGTTGTTCCTTCTATTATATTTTTATTAGAAATACTTTAAAACTTTAAAATTATTTAAAGCGTACATATTTTTTTTTCCGAAAAATTCAGATTTTTACAGTAATATTTATGTTATAAAATATTTTATACTCTGCACATTGTTATTAATTTAATTCTTACTAAAGCGTATTGTTGAGAGACTTGGTGTTACAAAACTGTGTGTGTGTGTGTGTGAGTACCGCTCAATACTATGACTGGAAAATTGTCTAAACCCCCCAAAATCTTAAATACGCTAGTGCTTATTATACTACTATGACTACTTCTTTCACTAAAAATTATACTTTTGAAACTTTCTATTATTTTTTTGTATTTCAGACATTATTTTAACACTCTTGACAAAACCACTTTTTAGAATTATAATATTCCTAAATTACTGCTTCTTTTATTTTAAACTTGGTATTTTTTTTATTTTTAGAGACTTGATTCTACTATATCAAATGGTGGCAGAAATGTAAGTATTTTAGTTGTTTCTTTTATTATTATACATACATATATTTGTATCCACCTAATTTAAATAATTGTAGTACCTACTGTATGATGTATAATCACAGACAATTATTATGACTATAATAAAATATATATTTCAATATTATGTTGTCAATTTTTTTTTTATATTTCATATACATATTGTTCTATTTTTTAGGTCAGTCAAAGTAATCAGCAAGGTAAGAACAAAGGATTATTTTTTGGACATAGACCAAACACATAAACCAGTTGTAAAATTATCTGCAAAATTAAACTGATTATACTTTGCGCCACGAGAGAAGTAACCCATGTCCCATCCAAATTGTGTTTGAATCCACTCATTTCCCACCTATTTGACATATCGACGTTGTACGATCACAATCGTTAACGGTAATGCCTTCAACGCTACACTGAATGGCACAAAGAGGGAGAAATAGGGTCTCGTAACAGCCACTGCTGTCAGTCTGCATGCCTGAAACGAGTTGCTTCTCTCTTGGCATAAAGTATTTTAAATTTAATATTACATCATCTATTATTAATCCTATAATAAAAATTTGTTTTGAATGTATTTTTGGACTGATTTATATTAACTATTCAATAATTTTAGTTAATATACTATTGAACCATTAAAATTGTAGTATAGTTTGTACTCTATATATTTATTATTTAATTAATTAATTTGTTACTTTTAAATGTTGTAAGTTGATACTAAAGAAACATTAATTTAATTTATAATATGTCTATGGTTGATACTTATTGTGTAGATGTTTTAGCAATTGATGTACCTGTATATTAAATTACATATTATTGTATTATGTTTTAAACTGTTGTATAGGGCTCATCCTGTTAGTAAATAATAAATAAATAAATACATTTTTTTCATAACAATAACATAGTTATTACAAACTATTATTGATTTCTTAAATGTAATTTTGAATCGTATTGTTTGATTGAATGTTGGACTATTATTACCACTATTTAATCTTATTGTAAGGTATGTGATTAGAATAAATTGTACAATTTGTATTATCTCAAAAAGTGATGTATCTTCAATTTATTTTTAAATCACACTAATAACGACTTATGAAAAACCACCCTGCATTAAATTTTCATGTTTTTGAGCTAATTTTTTATCTTTGATAATCATAAAAAAACTTATAAAAATTAATAATTTCTTTTAAGTTTCTATTTCTATTTATCACACAAAATATTTTCTAAATTTAATTTTACCATGTACAGAAAATGCTTTTATAAATAGTGTTTGGTAAACATTTCAAATATCTACTATTATTTGTTTATGAGTTACACAAAATAAATAAAATTAAATTTTGACCAAAAATTCTGTTTTTTCTTAAAAAAATTTATGTTTTTCTTGACGTTATCGAAAACAACTAGATTTTTAATTTTGTCCTCTCAAAAGTACCAACTTGATTTATTTTTCCACCAGAAATGATACTGACATTGAAAACCAAAGCATAATTTGAACAATTTTTTGCTGTTTGGTGTACACAGACACAAAATAAAAAAAAATATTGTAAAATCTATACATTTCTAAACTTCACTCAGAACTAAAATTAGTGGAAAAGTGAATATTTTACACTAATTCAGTTTTAAAAAAAAATAATAATTTATTTCTTTTTAATTTATTAATAAATTGCTATCAAGAGACTTTCATCAAATATTCATATCGACATTCAGTATTACAATTTGGACATGATGTAATTTTCAAAATAATTTGGCTCTGTGCTATTTATTAATACTTGAAACTTTATACTTTATACTGATTAAAGTATAATTAGATTTTGGTTTTTGAGTAAAATAGCACAAAAGTTTAATAAAAGGTTGCTCATACAATATTTTTACAGCAATCAAATAATCATGTCATTTATAGCTTAATTTTTTTTGAGATTATACTTAATAATTCCAATAATTTTGTTGTTAAGAGTTCATACAATTTTTAATCTTCATAGCTAGTTCAGTGATTGGTATACATCTGAAGTGAATAAAATGTAATGAAAATATATTGGTATTTATATGAATAATAACGTTTTTTGTTATTCTGTTTTAGATATGTACCTAATAATTCAAAAATATAATATTTGGTACCTACTGGGAACTTGATAATTGTATGCTTATTATTATATTTTGCTACACACCATGACATTTCTCAAATTATTTAGAACAATTTTAAGGTATTGGCGTATTGCTCATCTTTTATAGGTAGTATGTACCACAAACCTATTCACACTGTTTTATAGTACCGAAGTCGGTACTTATTAACTCAAAAGTTTATATAACATAATAATAATACATAGGGCAGAGGACTTGTGGCACTAAAAAATCACCAAATATGCGTTAAAAAATAAGATTATTTGTAAGAATATATTTAAATATTTTATTTAAATTTTGATGTCTGCGACCGACGTCCCCGTGGTCCGTATTGATAATATCTTATGCAGTAAACAATATCTGTTCATAAATAAAATTAATAACCGGAAAATAAATGTAATCGGCAGTCCTCAAGACGTGTCTCTAGGAAATACATTCATGTGGGAACATTCGACAACCATATTAATATGTTCAAAATTTTAAATAATTTTAAATTCAACATTATTTTGGTTGTATACTAAATTTATAATTAAATAAAAACGTCGACGGTAAAAGTATTGATAAAATGAAAAATTATTGAAATTATACACCTTAACGTATAGAATCGACGAAATATGCACTAAAACCAAAAAAAACTCGAAATATACATTTATATGAGAAATACAATTTCAAGACTAGCTTTGTTTCAGCATGAAACGTATTTGTTTCTTACTCTGCTATATTTGTGATCGTACAAAACAAAACAAATATGCTAATGCTACAAGTCTTCTGCCCTAATAATAAATAATATAATAATAATAATATAGTAGGTATATTATTGTAAAAATCAATTTATATCAAAAATACTAATTCAACCTGCTGTAAATCAGTCAAATTTTGTCAAAAGATGAACTTCTAACAAAGAATAGGTTCACCCACGATTAAATATATACATAGTATAGGTATATACTATATGTCTATATAGTATATCTTTAATCGTGGGTTCACCTTTCTGTTTTTAATGCCCATTAAAAAATCTTTTTTTTTTTAGATAATTTAATACGGTTATGGCACAGGCCACAGACTATAATATTATGCGGAAATCTAGGAAAAAAAATCCCCAAAGATATACCTAACTGTTCTAAAATAATAATAATAATATACAATAATTTTAAAAAAATATAAAATTTGAATGATAACTATTATAATATTATTATCTTGATCACACAGCTAGATTACGCAAAAATTAAAAAAAATTATGATAATAATTAACAATGAACAAATCACATTGCGTATAAAATAAAAATAATATCTATTTACCTATATAATAAAAAGGTAATCAGTTCTCTTGCGTATGTTATTACGAATGGCGGACAGTTTCCCCCCGACTGTTTTTGGCGTAGTAGGACATTTCCCCCCCCCCCTAATATATATTCGATGCGGACATTTTCCCCCCATTTTTTCTAAAGTTTTTTATTTATTATTTAATAAGAAATTATTTTTTTTCAGTAAAATATAATTTTTTTTTATAAATATAGGTAATCAATTATACTATAATTACCTATTATAGTAGATATATATTTTTAGATTATTAGATTATATTTATTATATTATATTAAAAGTATCCTTCACTATGCCCTTTATCGGAATTGAAAATGAATAGTAATTGGGCTACTACAGGAGGTGCCGAACCAAAACAATTTTTATTATTTGATAATGAAAACAATAACAATCGATTAATTGTTTTTGCGTCTCCCGAAGGAATGTTAGAGTTGTCAAAATCGACCTTATTTACTTATATACAATTTTTTTATGTCTTATTATATTTATGAAATAAAAAATGATATTTTTAACCTATTTTACTAACATACAATTTTTTTATGTCTTATTATATTTATGAAATAATGGGGGGAAAATGTCCGCATCGGAACATTTTTCGGGGGGAAAATGTCCTACTACGCCAAAAACAGTCATTGGGAAAATGTCCGGGGGGAAATTGTCCGGATACCGTTATTACTCACAGCTGTCAAAAATTCCCCAAAGTAAACTTTGCAAACCTTACAAAGCAAACTTTGGGGATTTTTTTTCGGGGGTTTTTTTTCTTGTGGATTTTTTTTCCGAGGACTTTTTATCCGGGGATTTTTTTTCTGGGGATTTTTTTTCCGAATACCATTTTATTTAACTATTAAAAACGATGATATTCCTACATAGATAATAAAGATATGGATAGGCCACGCCTATGTTAAATACATTTGAGGCCGCGTTCCCGGAGGGGAAGGCAATTGAGGCTCCTTTATATTGATAGTCGATACTCAATATATGTATTCTTTATTTGGCCTCAATTTTTCCCCTCGATGACCGCTGATAAGACCAATATGTCCTATCCATATCTTTATTATCTATGTATTCCTAATACATTTTGTTTTATGAATGAAATTGGTTATGGTATTTTGATGATTATTTTGAATTTTGATAACAGATATGATAACTTCTGTGAATTGATAACTGATTAAAGATCACTATTAAATTATCACAATATTATTTACTATATTGGTATTTTTCACGTTTTATTTATTCTTGGTCCGTTTAAACCGAGCTTATAACTTTTAAATGTTTGATACTGTTCCCGGCTGTTCCATGTGTAAATCACGAGTTGTAAATGCAACTGAAAGACGTACAGCAATAATTTTAATTGTGTAAAATTAAAATTTTCTGCTCGACGGTAGACATTTATAATGAATAATCTGTCGATTAGTGAAAAGGCGTTTAAACTTTTGAACGGTGTTGTGTGCTTGTATAAACCGGCTGGAGTACACTTGAGTGGTTGTCGCCATTCATTGCTTTTGAAGTTAACACAAGGTAAGTGAAATTGATTGACAACAAATAAACCATTGGAGACATGAGTACCTATGTATTATAATATTATTACAGAGTTGAATTCATGCGGTGTTAGATCTCCAGAAAATCGTGTGGTCATTTCCGGGGACACAACAAAAGAACTGAATGTAAAAGTAGAGCCCAGTTATGCGGACAATGTACTTGTCGTTGGTCCCAGGTACCAAACTCAAGACATTAAGTGTATTTGGACCACTCATTTGGGAAAGCGTGTGTCAGGCGTTTGTGGTACGACTAGTTTTAAAGTTCATTACCAACCTATATTAGAAGTCATTTTATTTAAATGTTGTTTTTTGAAGTTGTTGGACTAAATAAGGGTACCAAAATGGCAAGAAATCTTCAAAACAACTATCCATTGCGAACATATCATTTACACGGGCGATTGGGAATTATGACCAAGAATATGCACATTGATGGCCAAGTTGTTGAAAAGGGACGTTTTGACTTTGTCAGACGTGAAAATATGGATAAACTTATGTCTACAATCCAGGCATCAAATCAAAAAAAGATGTTTGAGTAACTACATGAGTTTACATTTTTAAAATATTATTCAACTATCTTAATGTGCCTATATACTTAAATTACATTTTAGGCTGGCCAATGTAGACACTCAAACTCAAACAGCATATGATTTGGCTACAAAAGGGTTGATTCGACCAGAATCTACTAAAAATCCTTTAATTTATGGAATTAAATGCATAAGTTTAGATTTACCAAATTTTATTATTGGTAAGTATCAAAATTGAAAGAGAACAAGAAGTCTATATGTAAATCTTTGCTTTGAAAAATCCTTGTTGTAATAATTAATAAATAATAAACAAACTTCAAGTTTTTTTTAATTATTTTTTGTATTATGAAAATGAAAGTAATATATCAAAAAATTAACCCATAATATGCAGTTATGTATATTGCTACTAAAAAATCTTAAAAAACATCATAAATTTATTTATTTATTTAATTACATAAGACATTTAACTATAAAATAAAATCAAAAAGCTTTCCTACCTAATATTTATTATATTTTTCAAATTTCAGAAGTTAATGTTATTAATGAATATGAGAATTATTTATTATCATTAGTCCACGAAATAGGACTTAAGTTGAGATGTTCAGCAACATGTACTGCTATACGCTGTATAAGATATTCATCGTTTACCATTCAACAAGCACTCCTAATGAAACATTGGAATCTTCAATTTGTATTAGAAAATATGAAGGAATGTAATTCTGCTTACGAAAAAATGAGTAAACTACCTTCATTTATTACTGAACAATCTTATTTTGAATCTAATCAAAAAATGACTGATGTACAATAATTTTAGTAAGTTATATAATATTTATTTGTTACTCGTAGTATTCAAAAGTTCATTATTCAAATTTTAACGACATTTTAATATGTTATTAAATAATAAAAAAAATGTTAAATAACTGTACAATTTGTTTAATAAAAGGAAACAATTTTTTTAAACCTGGTTTCTTTTATGTCTGTTCACTTTTGATAGTAGTGTCAATGTGTTTTAATTTTAATGATCCTAGATATAACTTATTTTATAGAATCTCTGCCTGGTCATAGTTAAAGTGTTCAAACTTTAAAATACATACACATGATATGAATAACTTCTAATGTACCTACAGACAATAAATTATAATTATTATAAAACTTTGGTAAAGTAAACTTTTGATAACTAAAAACTCAATAAAAGTAAATTATCAGTTCTTTGTATCTAGAAAATAATGCTTCTAGATATACTCTCCAATTCAATATAAAAATTTGGTTTGAACAGCTTTATTCGGCAAAAATCTTGTTAAATATATGTGGGTATTTATATAATAATGTAATTGACAAGTTTTTCAATTTGAATTTATCAGCATACAACTTGTGTAAACTAACCTAAACAGTTTTTATAAATTAATATCTAGAAAGTTTTTGGGAGCACAACTTGTGTAACATCACTTTTTTGCTTGGTTGTAGTCGTGTACACACCTCTTATCATCGGGACACAAATTGCTAACTGCGTCAAATTGGAAAAAATTCCTACATTCCCTCTTTTTTAAAAATTATTTCTACACAAAATACATTTAAGTTACCTACCAATTTTGAGACATATTATACTAATAAGTACATATTTTAGATAGGTGCCTATATGTTAAATGTTGTCCACTTCTACATTGTCATTGGTAATACACAATCTCAAAAGTCCCAAAACTTCTCCAAACCACTGCCAAATAATACTTTCCCCGAAATAAGGGAAATTAATACCCAGTAATCAATATAAAACCTAAAGGAGATATTTACAAAAAATTGAGAAATTAGAACAAACTCACCTCGAGCCTGGGCACATGACTTCCCATTTATTAATATTTCTAAGGTAGGACTTAAGACTTTTCGAGATTGTAAGTGTTGTGATTTTAAGATTGTACCTACTGATATGGAAAATCTGTGGTGATGTTTTTTTGGGAACAAACTACAAATTGAACCCTCTGAATAGCGGACACTTCCAAATAGCAGGCGAAATTTTAGTGATCGAGAGAATCCGGTATTTAGAGATTTTTATGTATATGTAACGGTCAATGACGAAAATTGAACATTTACATCATTAACCGGTCATTAAGGTTGAAGCCAAGTTGCTATAGGTTATTTTCGTTAACTACTGGGCAATAACGTCAGTTTCCAAGATAATAGGTTATTGTAAATTACAAAAAAAAAAATAAAATAATTTTTCGTCAACGACCGAATATCAACCATTAACTGTTGGTAAATTAAGTAACTAACATTTTTTCAATTTTTGTCAATTATTCTCTTCTATCAACTATTAATATTTCGTACTTACGAACCATCCTTAATCTGTTACCGATTTTTTCAATCCCTTGGTACTTTCGACTCTAATTTTGGAAATATGCTCACTATACTCTGATGAACTAAAATAGGAATTATTGTCAGTCTGTTTTTGACTAACCAAATTATTAACAAAATCGTTGAATTTACTATCCATAATACCTACACCCATACTTGATATTTTACGTAAATAAAAAATAAATATTTAAAAATGCAATTAAACGTGAACTGGCAAACTGCGAAATGCGAATCAAGTGATGTCAAACAAAAACGATGTCTGCAATGATACTGAAAATAAATAGCTAAAATACGTTATGGGAAAAACATCATTAAAATAAATTACCTACCTTTGATAATTTATTAGATTATTATTTTGGCATTATTTAACTTAGCCATCAGCTGTATATTAATATTATTATGGTTTTCTCGAGTAACTATCATTAATTATCTTTGATATTAATAAAAATAATACGTAATAACGTAAGTGGATAGATAACTGACAGTAATCCGCATGTTATAAATGTATAATATTACGACAACGTCCAACAGGAGTTGGGAATTGACGTGAATAATAAAATAATACCTGCATTTACAACATTATGGGCCGTCACTTATGTAATAAGTAATACAATACTAAATTATAGGTCATTTACGTAAATTTGTATTGTACAAGGTAATTTTCGACATTAGCCGGGCTTTAACGTAAATATTGTCATTTTCGTTGTTGGCCGTAACATATACAAATACAACTCATTTAGACACTAAATTGTATAAACACTTTTGTGATATTAATAGGTAGTTGTTTAATTTTTGAAAACTGATAACCTTAGAAGTTGAAGCCGTAACATGAACAAAAAAAAAAATTTTAAAAAAATACTGTATAGCAAATATCTAACTATAATAATTGTACGGTTCAATAATACAATTTATTTAGTATCATATTTCTCTTCAAAAACAAATTTAAAATAAATCCACATCAAATAGTGTAAAATATATTGAGTTTTTTTCAAATAAGTCTTAAAAACACATTTTTCAAAACATTACATTACACAAATGTATTGTGTACACGTATGTCAAAATGTCATTCAAACAAAAACACTTTACACATATTACGTACATTGCGTCAATATAAATATAACGAGTATTGACGTTTTGCTTTAAACACATTAAATCTAACTTCAATATAACTTATAAATTATTATGTAAATAAATTAAATTGATGTTTAATTTTTCTTAAGATTTTTTAAGATGTAGCAATATGCTTTTTAAAATAATATACAGTCTGACGTCGTAGTTTAATCAACTGGCGGAGTTGCCAATTTGTTCGGCTTCCAAAACTGTGTCTGGCATTTTTTTATTGAGAGTTTCTGGAAACAGTAGTGCGAGCAATCCAGATACTAGAGCAGATGCACTGAAGAGCAGTAATGGCGACAATTCGCCGAAATAAGTAACCTGAACATAATCATAGCATAATAATTAATGACATGTTGAAATTAATAATTTGACAAGCAATGAGCATGATTTTCTTAACTGTTTTTACGTGTGCCTGCCTAATACCTGCTAGTTACAGATTAATAAAATGTATGAGTACTTACAAAATAAATTGTTATCCAACCTTATTTAAGGTGATCAATAAAACTCTAGGAATCCAACCAAATTAGATGTAATTTCTCTAATATCATTTTTTTTACGAATTTTAGGGAAGCAAATCAAAATTTAGTTATTCTAAGAATTAACAATATGTCTATTTTAAAGAAAAAAAGTAATAATAGTTAAGTATAAAATGATTTATTATTTATTTTTAGAAATGTTTAACTATAGGTTGTCTTTATAGGTTAAACATTTAACTCAGATGCATATCTTTTATTTAAGTATATTTTTTAAGCAACTTGTAATTTATTTATTTAGAGTAACTTGAAACTTGTGTCCAGATACGATTTATTGGTGGACTTGCCCAATATTTTGTATACAGTGGAGTATACATAACATTTGTATGGTGGGGAAGGAAACTGACAATGTACAAAAAACGTAATTAATGTGTGAAAAAAAAAATTAGATGCAAATGACTCGTTAATTGTTACTTGTTACACCTATGAATCTATGATATTGAAGTTATATAAATGACCTATGGAAATTGCAATACAACATAAATCATAATATACCTATACATTTAATAAAGTTTGTTATACCTAGATCTACAGAGTGTGGTAAATTGTAAGTACCATATGAAATTCATAAAATTACTACTATGTCTACATTAGAATTTAGAATAATATGTGAAGTAGGTAGATTTATAATATTATAATTTGAATAAATACCTAGATTTTTTTTAACTGCAATACCTATTATATTTTAAAAATTTTATAAAAAAATTATTATTTCATGCATTTTTTTTAATAAGACCATGTAGGTACATATTCAACTAGGTATACATATAGGTATACTTACTAATAATGGGGTTTGTGGTGCCACCATTGAACCGATCCTGCCGAACATGGAGCATATGCCGAGCAGAGAATGTCGGATTTCCGTTGGAAACATTTCGGCAGTGTACATGTACAGTATTACAAACGAAATGGTTATGGAGAACTTTCCAATCAGGTACAAGAGTACATTTATGATGACCGCGTCTAAAAATATTACAACATTTCGTCAAACGATTTGTCAATAATAAAATATTTAATTATACATTACGTATGACGTTTATTGGGTCGGATAGGTAGGTAACTCAACTGTAGACAACAACAAGCCCATATAAAAATTACTTACGTGCATCCATTTACCCCCTCCTCCTCAGTCCTCTGTGTGCGTTATTGGTGCTACACCGAGAAATTGGATATCCCCTTTAATAGGTACGGGGTACCTACTATTATTATGTTCTATAAACTCGTTTAATTTTGGGACACGGCTTGTTAATAAGTCAACAAAATAAAATATTTGATTTTTTTAATTGATCATTGTATTAAATCTCAATGAATAATGTAAGGATTGGCACCTATTGTACTTGTACATAAATAATGGCTATAGTGGCTTATTATTGTTGAACTTTATGATTCCTTTGGCTATGTTTACTCCCCTGCCCCTGTTCTATCCCATCTGCACCCGGCGAGTAAAAAACTTAGTAGCCACATAGCCGTTTAGGGCGGTCTATAGCCCCTTTAGTTCTCCCCTTATTCTATACGCTTATAGTGGTAGGAAAAAAATAAGAACCGCTCGCTTAGTGATGGCTGAATGATTTATTAATAATTACGTTTTGGGACGAACGCAATCGAAATGCACAGAATACTGCACACCAAGAGCGTGGCACATTGCGACTCTCTCCGACCACAGTTGTTCATGATCTTGATCACCAAGAACAACGCTGGGATTTCGACAAGGCTGCACAGAATGAAGTTCCCATACCGGTTTCCCACTATTGAACCTGAGCTCATAGACAGGCCGTAGTATATGAGTGTGTTGATCATCCTGAGTATAATAAATAATAATAACAATTAATGATAATATATGGAAAACAATATTAATAATTGCGTAGCCACGGATGTACAT